AAAGCATTCCCAGTAGATGGGGCATGGAAAACTGGATATCTACAAACAGAAGAATGAAACTACATTCATCTTTCCCAGTCTGTATAGGAATCAACACTAATATGAGACTTCAATCTTGAATGGTAAAAATAAAAAGTCATGAGTGCAACAAGATATAGGAGCAGGTATGGACATTATTGTTGCTTAGGAAATAAGGCAAAGAACTGAAAAATGGGAACTTATGAGTTTTTTAAAATTTTGCAGCATAAAGGAAAAGGTCAATCAAGCCTACAGAATGGAAGAAAACCTTTGTTAGTCCTGCATTTGACAGAGGATTAATATCTAGAACAAAAGAACAACAAAAATAAAAGAAACAAAAAGCATTTAAACAGCAAGAAAATTAATGAACCACTTAAAAAATGGGCTACAGAATTGAGCAAAATGTTCTCAAGAGAAAAAGCACACAGGATTAAGAAGCACTTAAGAAAGCCTTCAACATTCATAGCCAACAGGAAAACACAACTTAAAACTGCTTTCAGATACTTTGACAAATGATTATTGTCAACAAAACAAATGACATCAAAAGTTGTCTTCTGTACGCTTGCCTGCTAACATATTTGTATAATTCTTTGGGATTCAGAGACCCCCACTTTCCAACCAACCAAGCAAAGGGATAAGAATGCTGTCTGTTAGCTCACCTTCTTGCAATTGGTCTACCTGATACACCCACCAGTGTATTTGAATATGTATTATTCTTTGACTTTCTTTGCTATAAAACGTTCATGAACTTGTTTTCTTGTTGGAAGATGAGAGTGTATGGAAACTTGAATCTGTTCTCTAGTTACTCATATGTAGCCCCAGAATAAAGAATGTCTTTTACTCCTCTGAAGTAAGGGCTGTTCCTTTTGCCAAAGTCAAGAGTGGGACAGGGCTAAGAGAAGATAATATAGGTTGGAATTTGGAAATTATAAACTGTCAAAAAGATTAATAAAAACTACTAAAAAATAACTTCTATTCTCAAGTAAGTCAAAGTCCAGAAAATAAACAAATCATACAAAAGTAATGGAACAGCAGGAATATATATATGTAATATACTTATATATTAATATATACTATTTTGTTAATATTAATTATACATTTAATTTTATATAGAGAATTAATTATATTAATGTGTATAATATATGATATATAATTAATATATTATATTAATATGAGTATATTATATATACTTATATATATATATTGTATGTAAGTAATAAAACAGCAGGGATATATATTGTGTATGTGTGTGTGTTTGGTAATTTTGAAATCTTTAAAGTTTCCTATGTCCCAAGCCAACCCTCATTACCTTCTCTTAACCCTCTTATATTCCTTGTGTTTTGGTAGCACTGAATACCAAATCAGCATTATTATCTCCTGGGTTTGGCTTATAAGGACGTAACACTTGAATGAGGTGTGTAGGATGAAAGTTGTATATGATTTTCCAGCTGGACCCATTTTTCTAACTTTAAGGGGGCAAAATATAGAGATTAAAGGACTAGGCAATCTGAGCTACAGTTTGGGCTCTTGAGCTCTTAGACTTTAACCCTCCTATGCCAACTTCTCTCTTAAGAGCACTATCATGCCCTTCTCAATGCTGTGAGTGGATCACATGAGATAATATGTATCAAACTCTTGGTATAACTATGTACATAATGTGCTTGTTATTCCAAACGAGGCAAGTGACTCGGGTACCAGTTGGGTCAAACCAGGAGTCCCTTTAACTTCCTTTTCCTCAATCTCAGCATACAGGAGGAGTGCACCCAGAATATATTATTTACTTGTCAGAGTTTTGAGAAAATGGCTTTGCAAAAATCTTTGTCTGGGCCAAGAGCTGCTGTGTTTAAAAATGCTGATATTCACCAGAGCATCCTCTGAGGAAATCAGGTTCACAGTTCTGTTTTAAAACATCACTGGAAAACTCAACATTAAAAAAAACCTCACTTAAAAAAAACAATGAAAATAATTTTAAAAAAATGAAAGAAAAACAAAACAAGAACAGTGTCAAAACAATGGCTAAATATAGACACTTGGTTCCCACTGCTTCATTAGCTTCCTCCAGGCGTTTGAGAACATGTTGGTGTTGTCTTCTTACATAACCTCAAACTGATCATCAACTTTAGCAAATGCTGATGTCATACTTCAGTAGGATTGATGACAGCAGTTTTGGTAATTGACTCAATCATATCCTTTATTGCATTTTTTTTGCACCTTTCTTATGAGTTCTGATATAAGGTCACATAATGCACTAAGTTCCCAGGTTCTTTCATAGCTTCAAATCTGAAACACTCCCATAAGATTTCTTTGCTTTTTTATGATTACTGACATGAAAATAATTTGGAACTCAACCCCTAAAACAGAATGCACCTATCTGGGAGATGGTTGAGGACTCCCAGTCCTCAAAAGTGATTTCACCTTCTGCATTCCAGGTCAGCTCTGTATGTCAGGGATGCAGTGCCCTAGCAGTGCCTAGCAGTGCCTTAGCACATTGCATTGTCCATCTTTTCCTTATATCAGTCCCTCATTTGTGGTAGTATCTGATTTCTCTACTCTTTATGTTAATTAGCAAAATATAAGGAGATTTTTTTTTAAATGTTGATCTTTTTTTTATTTTATTTTTTATTTTACAATACAATTCAGTTCTACATAATAGCCACAGATTCCCTTGTTCTCTCCCTTCCTTCCCTCTCCCCTTACCCCCAGCCCACCCCCCATTCCCACCTCTTCCAGATCAAGGTCTCCCCTGAGGATTGGGATCGACCTGATAGACTCAGTCCAGGCAGGTCCAGGCCCTCCTCCCAGATTGAGCCAAGCGTCCCTGCATAAGTCCCAGGTTTCAAACAGCTAACTCATACAACGAGCACAGGACCTGGTACCACTGCCTAGATGCCTTCCAAACAGATCAAGCCAATCGACTGTCTCACCTATTCAGAGGGCCTGATCCAGTTGGGGGCCCCTCAGCCTTTGGTTCATAGTTCATGTGTTTCCATTCATTTGGTTATTTGTCATAAGGAGATATTTTTAAAACCATGAGAATATCTATTGTACTTACCAAAATTTCCCTGCTGTTTCAGCATCTAGTAGTGATTATTTGCCTGAACTAACCCTAGTATGATAGTTACAAATGGCTAATTTCCCTGCTTTAGGATTCCCTCCATATTTTTACCAGTTTACACTCAACAAACCAGATTTCCTTTCTATGTATCAATCATCTATCTATCATCTACTTATCTATAGCTATAGTATCAATCTATCATCTATCATGTACCTGCCTACCAATCTGTTACCTATCTCATCTGTCTGTCATCATCTATCTGTCTATCTATCTATCTATCTATCTATCTATCTATCTATCTATCTATCTATCTATCTATCTACCTACATATTATCTATCATCTATCATTTATCTAAGCATCTCTCAATCTCTATTTGTCATCTATCATCTATGTATCATCTATCTATGTATCTATAAATCTCTATCATCTATATATCTATTACCTATTTATCTATTGTTTACCTTTCATCTTGTGTTGTGTTTATCTAATCAGTCATCTATTAACAAAATAGACCCATGGATTTCTGTTTTTAAATGTTCTCAAATTCCTCACTGTCTTTAATTAATTACATAATCAACCCCCTATGCCTGGTCAGTGAGAGATCTTTCATGTTGGTTTTCCCCTGTTCTCATTGTGACTAATCTTTTGTTCAGCATCACCTTACTTTTTGGCACAGCATGGTTTTCCGGGGTCACACTATAAACACCTTGCCCTTGCTCTGAAATCAGCCATTTATTTCTTTGTGATAGTCTAGTTCTTTTCAGAGAGAACTGACACTAGAGACCAACTTTGGGCACAAACTATTCAACAGAGCTACCTTTGCTTCTAGGAATTACATGCACATTTGTTAAAAATCCCAACTCCATACCAACAAACTTTAACTCTAATCCAACACCATAGGATATTATTTCTTCCATTATATAGCTAGACATTTCTTCTTTCACAATGAGAGCCCCACCTCCAAACAACTTTAAAATAGTTGCTTTATCACCTTCAAATGTAGCTAAAATAGTTTTAGGATTGCTTCACCCAAGATAAAAGTCAAAATAAAAGGAGGTCAGAATTTATTTCTTTCTGTCTACTCTGCCTAAAATTGAGCATATACTTAGCTCTATATTATCTACATCTGTAGCATATGTCATCGATCTATATGTCTATGTAGTAAAATGCAATGTTGATTTTACTTGAGTCATTTAAAAAATTTTCTCCCTTTACTGAGGTCATATAAGTCACTTTGAACATATTTGAATGATGATTACTTTTAACTTCAAATTTTCTTCATTGAGTTGCATTTCCTTTTTTAAAATAATTCAAATATCAGCATGGTTTCACAGTCCATTTCATGCCTGTTTCCGCTTCTTTACTTACCTCTGTTACATCATCAGCTTAATTCTCTCCCTGCCTCCCCCCCCTCCAATCCGGTCTTCTTTCTTCTTCTTAAGGCAAAAGGATAAAGGGAACAGAGAATTACAAGTATTCCTACTCCTTATTTTATATAAAGGTTGCAAATTATATATTTCTTTTATTTGGCATATTACTCTTGCCACTTAGCACAATATCTCTGTAAAGCACTCTGCATCAGTGTTTAGAGGTCATTACTGTTTTCTATAACAGCACACTACTCTATAATACACAATTGCCATGGTTTACTCAATCAACTTCATTGTTTTGCATATGTAGGTAGTTTTCAATGTGTCACAAGAAAAAATATTGCCACTCCAAAAACCTTAATGCATATAGTTTCACACAATTAGAGGAATATATTCAGAATAAACTCTTGGGAATGATATTGCTGGATTGAAGGGTATGTAAATATGATTTTAAATATTTTGTCACAGTATTCTCCACAGGTCTTCTGTCATTTTGCTTTGTCACCAGTAAGAGATTGCCTGGAAAAGCTAACATTTTGACTTTATTCTTCTGTAGTGATGAATGAGAAAGGATTGAAGAACCATGACACAATGCTATGCATAGAAGTGAATGGGAAAAAAAGCTGCCCAGCAGAAAATTAATGACAAACTTTTCATACACTTCAACATCACCCAAATACTGGTAGGCAGTCTAATTCAGTGTTTCCTATCAGGTTAAATATCTCTCAGTAGGCTTCTTAATAAGATGCCCAGAACATAGTTAATAATCAATAGATAATGATCATTCTGTAAATGAATGAAAACTATGGCATTGGCATAGGAGTAGAAAAGCTTGCTGGTAAGTTGTTCTGGAGTGCCAAACTTCACCCTCTTTCTTCCTAGACAGACAATTCCCTGTGCAGCTGCTCCTAGGTACTGAGCAGTTTGAAGTTTCCAAAGAAGAAAACATGTAAACAGCCATTGCAGTAAGAGATGGGCTACACAGAGGCCTATTGTCTGCAGGGACACTGAGAGCTCTGTGGCTAGCAGGGAGTGTCCTCAAGTCTGCCTGGTGTCTTTAGCCTGAGCACAGCCTTTCCTCTCTGGAATGTAATATTCTACCACGCCCTCAGAGTGGCATTGTGCAGGAACAGGGTCAGGGCCAAGGAGGCACAGATGGGGAAATGATCTCGCACAGGCAACCCAATAAGTCAGAATCAGCATGAGAGGGATGGTCAGGACCCGGGCACTGAATGAGCGCTTTGTGCAGCTCTGGGTGGTGGTGGTTGAGAGGCACCTTCCTCTTGCAGTTCACCTGGTGGATGAACAAAGCAGCCTTTCAGGCTTTGGGCCCATGGCAAATGCTGTGCAGGTGACTGATCTGCTTTCTTACCCACAGTGCCTTGAGCATTTGTGCCTGGTATTTCTTATGAGTTACCACTAGGGCTCATTTTTGTCACGGGATTGTGGGCTGAAGGTGACAACAGCAGACCCAAACCAGGAAGAGATGGGACACTTGTTTTGAGGCTCAATTGGTTATTCTGAGGATCTTTCTAGAGCCAGAAGTGAACAGGCACAGAAAATTAAGATTTCTACCAACATAGTATGGGCAATACTGGCAAGGCCTCTGCCCACCTTTTTGGGCTGATAAAATTTATTTTCTCAGATCTTCAGGGACAGTTAAGTTGGTAAACTCTTCAAGGCATAAGCATGAGGACCTGAATTTTGATTCTCAAGATCCTGCAAAATGTTGGGCACGGTGGGTCGTACCTGTAACTCCAAAGCAGGACAGGCAAAGACAGGAAGATCATTGGTGCCCATCAGCTGGTGAGTCTAGTCAATTGTTGAGTTGTAGTTTCAATGAGGAACTTGTCTCAAAAGATAAGGAAGCAGACACCTGATTCTGATCTTTCACTTTTTTTTACAATCAAACATTGATAATACATGCGCATATATGTAACTATGTTCATGCATCACACACACAGACACACACAGAAACACAGACACACATTACACACAACACACTACATGTTGCTGTTGGCTTTTACTCTTTTGGGGGGCCCACCACCCAGCTCCCAAATAAATCACACAGAGGCTTATTCTTAGTTATGAATGCCTGGCCTTAGCTTGGTTTCTTTCTTGCTAGCTGTCCTTAACTTAGTCCATCTACCTTTTGCCTCTGAGCTTTTCTCATTCTCTTAGTTCTGTAAGTCTTACTTTTACTCCGTGGTTTGCTGGTTTGTAGCTGGTCCCTGGAGTTTGACTCCTTCTCTGACTCCTTCTCCCCGACTCCATTTCTTTTCTTCTTCTATATATACTCTCTGCCTGCCACCCCCACTGATCCTTTCTCCTGCCTTGCTATTGGCTAGATCTTTATTAGACCATCAGGTGCTTTAGACAGGCACAGTAACAAAGCTTCACAGAGTTAAATAAATGCAACATAAACAAAAGTAATACACCTTAAAATAATATTCTACAACAACTACTGTGGTGACATATTGTGTGCCCTAATGAAATTTGCCTGAAGATCCGAGGACAAAACAAACCACTAGATTAAACATAGAGGCCAGGCAGTGGTGGCACACACAACTTTTATCTTAGCACTCGGGAGGTAGAGCTCTGTCTGGATCTCTGTGAGTCCAAAGCTACCCTGGATTGCATGAGATTGATTCAGTCTAGGAGAGAAACAGAGCCAGGCAGTGGTGACACACACCTTTAATCTCAGTACTTGAGATCTCATGCCTTTGCTACCAGTATTTGGGAAGCACAAACACCTTTAATCCCAGCACCAGGAAGGAAGTGATATGGCTGGGTAAAGAAAGTTTTATAAGGCGTGAGGAGACAGGAACGAAAGCTTTTTTGGGCTGGAAGCCCTTTTCAGCTGAAGAAGCCTTTTGGCTGAGGACTCAGAGGCATTAAGTTAGAGGATTTGTGGAGTTGGTGAGGTTTAAGATGGTAGTGGCTTGATCCTTTGTCTCTCTGATCTTTCAGCATTTACCCCAATATCTGGATCATAGATTTTTATTAAAGATCATTTAGCAATTAGTGAAACAATCTATACACTTTATTTCTCATTTAGTAGTCTTAGGATGTTCATAGGACAGGGTTTCCATGAGAAAAATGGGGTCATGATGAGTTGAAAAAGGTTCAGGATGGTGGAGCATTTTCATTCCCAGTTCAATGTGAGCATTGTCTTGGCCACCACTATCCACAATATCATGAGGATTAGTGTGATAATGAGGGCAAAATAATATAACATTAAATGGGGGCACTTGACAGGGCAAATAGCACTTCCTTTTACTTTAACACAACAAAGAAGCAGATACTCCTGTTCTGAGTTATAGTCACTTGTCTAAGATTTTGGTGATAGTTTTTATGTGTCAGGGCTAAAAATGGAAATTGTGACTCATGTGGAGAGAAACACATAATTAGGTGTATAGCCTGAGAGTCATCTACTTCAGAGAAATATAGAGGATCCATGCTGATTGAAGGGAAGGGCTTCTTTTTACTCTGGATAAGGCAGGGCTGTCTGTGTTTTCCATGTGTCCATGACTTGCAGAGATCTATGCCTTGAGTCTACAAGGTATCAAATGTTGGATGTTTGTTTGAGAGAACTGTAGATTCCTCCTGTTCGTACTGAGACATGTGGTACAGCCACAGGCTCTGTGCTGTGTCTGCCTTGAATTGATGCTGCCTGGAGAGCATGGTCGAGGCTCTTGCTGTGCTTTCTACTGATGCTTAAAGACCTATTTGCCCATTAGTGGCATGCAGCTAGAGTTTTCCTGCCTGGCCCACAGTCAGGACAAATCTTTGTCACCCGCCAGTCCCACAGCCGTCAGACCCAACCAAGTAAACACAGAGACTTATATTGCTTACAAACTGTATGGCCGTGGCAGGCTTCTTGCTAACTGTTCTTATAGCTTAAATTAATTCATTTCCATAAATCTATACCTTGCCATGTGGCTGGTGGCTTACCGGCATCTTTACATGCTGCTTGTCCTGGCGGTGGCTGCAGTGTCTCTCTGACTCAGCCTTCTGCTTCCCAGAATTCTTCTCTCTCCTTGTCCCACCTACTTGCTGCCTGGCCACTGGCCAATCAGTGTTTTGTTTATTGTCCAATCAGAGCAATTTGACATACAGACCATCCGGCAGACACAGAACAGACAGGTGTAAGGACAGAGATACACTAGGGATAAATCTCTTGTTTGGATAACACATGAACTGCTAAAATTGTTTTCAAAGTCCTAAGGAGAAAGAAAATATCCTTCAAAAAGGATTAAAATTGAATACCTCCTGTTCTCAGCTAATGGGGTAATGGGGAGTGGTTATAGCAAAATTTAAATTAAAATGAAGCAACCACCCACTCACTCATTCAAATGACATATATTGAGTTGTAATGATGACTCAGTATTATCTAAGTGAATTTCATTGAATACTTCTCTGAACATCTTAAAATTTGATTAAAATAGTTCCTTTTGTACTTGGATTTCGTGATGACTTTTTTGGTCATGTTTCCTCTTCAGGGACCATGGCTGTGTGTTTTGCACAATTCCACTCTTTCTTTAAATGTATCTTAGGTACTTTTCTTCTTTGTGACACTTTACTCTATCCAATCTGTGAGTTAAGGGTGAGCCAGGTATGATTTCAGCACAAACCACATCTGCTTGAAAGTCTAGGCATGTCTTATCTATATTGAAAATCGCAAGATTTCAGGCTTGATGAAACCTGGTTTGGAGGAAATATGAGGACCTTTCTGTGAGAGAAATCTTGTTGTTTCTTCATGTAAGTTCTAGGAAGTCTCCCAAGGGAAAAAAAAATATGTGCTCTGGATGCCATTTTAATTTGCCTTCATGCCTACCTTATATATTTTTGAAGGGTAGATCTTAGAGAGCAGAGTTGCCATACATAAGTTTTTGCAAACTTTGGGGTAAAATGCTTGTACATCTCATATTCTGAGGGTCCTACCAGAAAGACATAGAGATAATCTCAATTTTCAGTCTCACCACTTTTAAAATCTTTGGCACATTGAAACCTCTGCTTCATTGGATGTGAGACTTGGTGGAGCAGAGAGATATTGAAAAGCCACAAGATAAGGAAATAAAAGTTATGGTGGCTTCTATATGATTAGGACATACAGCAGGATTTCCCCATGATATTTATACACCACAGTAAAAAGGCTACTGTTTGAACCAGAGAAAAGTTATTCAACCTTTGCTTCTATAATGAATATTATTTTGAAGAAGTGATTGTGAAAGTTTCTAATTGGGGAACTTCTGTTGACTGGTTGACTATGTCAAGAAGTTATTACTTATTGATAATAATCTGTGATATCTCCTGGCAACCAATATGTATAGCTTAATATATCAACAACACAAATCTAAACTTGTGCAAATCAGCAACTAGAAATTGTTCAGAACAGGAACTCCCACTTCACTCCATTGCTCACATTTTTAACACTTTAAAAATCCAATCTTCCCTAATTTTTGTTTTTTGAAACAGTCTTACCGTGTAGTCTTGACTGGCCTTGAATGCAGTATTAAACCAATCTTGGTAAATATTCACAGAGATCCTCCTGCTTTTGATCTTTGACCTTGAATGCTGGGATTAAATGCATGCACTTGGCCCTTTTTTCACTTTTGAGGGAATAATCTTGCTTGGTTTCTATCTGAACCTGGGTCTGTCATATTGCAAGTGTATTCTGCATCCATATAAAAGCCTTCTTTGACCCTAGAGCCAGGGCCAGGGTTTGGTTAGGTATCATGAAAGCATAGTTGAGCACCATAATGCCATATCCAGGATCAATGACCTTCAGGAATGGATGTGTTTAGGAATTGGCTTTCACCCAGGGAAGTCCAGAAGTTACTTGGAGGAGAAATCTTGAAGATTGCTGGAGTGCCAATTTTTTTTTTTTTAAAGTCCAAGCTGATGTGATTTAGAGGAAACATATAGGGAGGGAGTGATGGAGTCAAGGCTGGTAGGACAGGAGGGAAAGATTCTGGACAACTTAGATACAAGTCCAAAGCATCTTGAAATTATCATAAAGATAATATTGTGATCTAGAGACTGGCAGATTCTTTTTTTTCCCTTTGAGACAGGGTTTCTCTGTGTAGCTTTTGGAGCCTATCCTGGAATTCACTCTGTAGACCAGGCTGGGCTTTAACTCACAGAGATCCACTTGTATCTGCCTCCTGAGTGCTGGGATTAAAGGCGTGCATTACCACCGCCAGGCTGGCAGATTCTTGATTGAAGAGGGTAAGCTTGACATAGAAGACTGGTAATTGATGGATTATTTCTTATATTTCTAGGTTTGCTTCTCGCCACAGCTTATTATTAGCCCAGGATCAGCGCTTGTTTCTCCATCATGCACTGACTGTCTGGGAACCATTAGAATTTAGCCTTTAGCTTGAGATCTCTATGATAACTCTTTTCTGTTTACTGAGGGGATTTGTAGATGTATCCTCATTTTATGAGTCTTCTTGATAATCAAGCTCTGTTCCAAGAACCACTTCTGGATGCATTAGAGGCTTCCAGAAGATGTATCCATTCCTGGACAGTAGTTAAAAAGGAAATGATGAATGAAAGGTAATCTCCACAGCTGGATTCCTTACTTCATGATTCTCCCACATGTTTGTTCCATTTCACCCCAAAATTATTTTAGGGATACTTGCTTACTTGAAACCGCTTTTTGCTTTTAACTGTATACTGACACTGATTAGCTTTCCACTACACACACACACACACACACACACACACACACACACACACACACACACACACTTCCTGTGTTAACTAACCCTCAAATGCCTGGTCCACTCTAATCAGAAATAGTAGTTTTTCACAGAACAAGGCAAGGGATTTAAACGAGTAAATCATGTAGTTTGAAAAATACAAGTACAAATGCTGCTGTTTCTCAGAAGGCTGAGAATCACTAAGTTTATATGGTGGAGGTCAACTAGCCATTGTACTATATTACACATACTTTCAAGATCCAGATACACTAGCTTTCAGAAAAGCCTCGTGTTCATGCAATTGCTTTCTATTCTCACACATAGAAATTCTACACATACAGCAATAGAAGATACTTTAATTAGAATCAAACACAGGAACAAACCATAAAGGGGAATTACTGTAACAAATTGGTAATTGTTATTATATTGTTATGCATTTAAAACACCATTAAGACCATCAAAGGATGCTTTCTCATGGTGCATGAACATGAAGGATGGGCTGATGAACACAACACAGGGTTGGGGGACAGACTGTCTTGGGTGATTATAGTGACATAATGAGGAACTTCCTGGTAACTGGTAACTATGTTGTAGTTCTTAGCCATTTACATGAATGACAACCATTTTAAGGTATTAAATTAAAATAGAGACATAATATAAAATTATTTTCAAAATAATTAAATTCCTTAGCATTTTTGATATCTAATCTCAGGTTCTTCATTAATCTGGAAATGACTGGAGCTAGAATATTCCAGATAAATGTTTTTCCTTTTAATATGTATGTACTTTGTACCAGAAACACTTAAATATTTTTTCTTTTTATATCAGAAAACATTGAAGAGAGACTTAAAGTAGACTTTAAAGTTGATTCAATAAAACTATAAAATGTTTTTATTCTCCATATTAGGGTTATGCTAAATGGTAAATTAAATAGTGACATCTGTGAACATCTGTCAAGTGACTTGTAGGTTCAGCGTTTAGTGATCCTTTCTCTTGCCAGGATCACATTTGTAAGGGAGTACTCAGACTTTCTGCAGAGCTTCAAATCCCTCTTCTACCCATGGCCTTATTCCCTCTGAACACAGCATGTTTTGGGCAAGCCATAATCAATCCTATAGAAAACCTACCTCTGTCTCATTTTCATTCACACAAAAAATGGTTAAAATAGGATAATGCCACTCTCTTTTTTACCCCAAATGGTGACTGCCACCTATTAAAATGCTAATTAAAAATATAAAGAAACCAAATAGAGGAGCCAAAGACAGCCAGGAAACAAGAGGACTGAAGTCTACTGAGTGATTAATCATTTGATTAACCAGGTAAGGCTGCAGCACATTACTAATTAGCTCACTTACAAAGCCTCCACTGAGCAGCTCTTCTCTGATTAAAGAGGTGCCCAGCCATTCAAACCCTGATGCTTGAGTTTCTTTCATAGAACAAAATTTGACTTCCATGCACAGCTCATCTCTTTAATCCAGCTGTGATTTCTCAGGACTCTGACACTCGGACCTAGGCACATAAATCAAAGAGCAGAAACCTGTCTTCATGAATGTTCTGAGTATGCAGTCTGTATCTGAGGACTCTTTATTCTCCTTGAGAAAGAAGGTTGCCTCTGTTCTGGCTTGAATCAACTACCCGTTGATGGTCAAAGCTGCAGCTTGCAATGACCCATTGGGTTGTTTGGAGGCATCAGTAGAAGACTCTGACTTCATGAGAGTATAAATCATCTTTTAATCCATTGTCCTCCTGTGGTAGGAACTTAAAATACAAGGATTCAGCCAGGTGGTGGTGGCACACACCTTTCATCCCAGCACTCGGGAGGCAAAGGCAGGTGGATCTTTGTGAGTTCAAGGCCAGCCTGGTCTCCAAAGCAAGTTCCAGGAAAGGCACAAAGCTACACAGAGAAACCCTGTCTCGAAAAACAAAAAACAAAACAACCACAACAAAAATAACAAAATACAAGGATTCCTGCCATCAGTAGCAAAGATCCTCTCAATTTTATTTTGAAGTCTTCCCTTAAAATATACTTTAGGCTGTATCTTCTCAGTTAAGTCCTTAGTCACTTGATGCTCTGCCTGCACAATGGAAACATCCTTCTTTTCAGTGGTGGTAATTGAGATTCTTGATTGCCTGTGCAATGAAAGAGATGCACTAGCTCTTCCCCCTGTAAGCCTTCTTCTGGCCCTCAGACTATAATCTTTCATCCATAAAAGAAAAGAAAAAGTGATAAAATGTTGTCTCCAAACCCTCACCCCAGTCCCTTGTGGATATCATTCCAACTGTGGTATCAAGAGAGTTGTGGTTCTTCAGTTATGCAGTGCACCAGTGAGTTCAGTAGATCTTGTGACTTCCTCTGTTGCTGTTGCAAGAGTTGAGAAGCTTATAGAAATGTTGGTTGAGTCATGGGAAATACAGAGTTATGGTCAAAATTAAATTCTCAATCTAAGGCAACTCCAGATTAATTATATCATGACTGGGTAATGTATTTCCAGCGTGGATACTATATGTTGAAAGGGTATGACAAGCCAGGGATCATTTAGCTATGACCAATAATGAGAGGGATGTGGTTAAGGAATTGAAAAGCAACTAGGCTAGGTTTAACATACAGGAACATGGGACCTGACTTTAAAGACATGAAAGGTGATATAAAATGCAGTTTTGTTTACCAGCTCATAGCACAACGTATGGTAAAGAGCTAGCGTGTCATGAGTGGTCATTGTTTTCTGTGTTTGTCAGCATGCTAGACATTCACATGCCTTCTTGAAATTTGCAATTATTCTCAGTTTATAGTGGAGGAAACCTAGAACAATTACAATACTTGACTAAAGGCATATGATCGATGTCCAAGTGTAGCATAAAAGATAAGCCTGTATCCAGAGCCCAGGTCATCTCTATGCTGGCCTGTCTCTTGAGACACCTCTCTTGGTGTCAATGAGGGTAATACCCATAGGTATTCTGGCCTAAGGCATGGATAAGCATAGCTTCTCGGTGTATATTTTCCTTTATATATGAGCTGATGGGATTGAGTAAAATGAAGTAATATTCTTAGAGTGTTCCAAGCGGTAGGAATGAAGCCTAAATCTATCTCTTGCTGGAAACCCAACCTCTAATAGTACCCATGATACTTTTTTCATACATGTCCCCTTTGCTTGGAAATGTTCGTCTCATCTTATGAAGATCATGAACAGTCTCTAATTTACAAAAAAGTCACTAGTTATCATGAGCATCTTTATGATCAATTTAAAACTCTGCAAAAATATTTTTTAAAAGTCACTTGATTCTTAGAGCTAGAAATTAATTACTATATAAGAATGTCTAGACTTTCAGGAATAAAGCTAAGTTTTGTGCTTTTTATCTGATAAGTGAGATGGATTTGCCTGTGTTTCAGACCCTGTTTGGATGGGACACATTTTTTAGAGGAGCAGATGACTGAACTACATGTTACTGTCTGAGGAACAGACTGTGATAGAGACTGGCCTTAACTACAGTGGGTAGACTAGGCCAACCATCAAACTGACAATCTTTTTGACTCTTTCTTCTAAGGTAGGTGTGAACCACCCAAACTGGAAACATTGTACACTTTTAATATAAAATTATATCTTTTAAAATTTATATATATCACATAAATTATATATATTATATCACATAAAATATAAGCCATAAAAATGTAATTAATCCTTTTATAATTGCATGATAGTAATGTTCAATTCTACTAATATCTGTGTGTAGTCTGAAGATTTCCTGTGTCTTAGCCTGCCGGCGGTTGGGACAAATCTCTCCCACTCGCATCCCCCAAGTAAACACACAGAGGCTTATACTAATTATAACTGATTGGCCATTTGTTCAGGCTTATTACACTTAAATTCAGTCAATTTTTGTTAATCTATATGTTGCCACATGTTCCCTGGCTTTACCTATGTGTCATTACATGCTGCTCCCTGGAAGGCAGGCTGGCATCTCCTCACTTAGCTTTCCTCTTCCCAGACTTCTCCTGGTCTGCTTATTCTGCCTATACTTCCTGCTGGCTACTGGCCAATCAGTGTTTTATTAAACCAGTATACAAAAGCATTATCACACAGCATCTGTGAATGCTAGGTTCTGCCACACTTACCATGTGAGTGTATTTTTAGAACTTGGATTGCTATCAGCTTTTAAGACACGAATAGCATCTCAGTGTGTTTTTTCATCATGACTTAAGTTCTACTATTTTTTGTCCTAAAAACATACTTGTATTTTCCCTTAAACTATATACCTGTAATTTCCCACTGAGTTAGTGATATTTTTCTCTCATTGACCACAGAGTACCTTTAATGTATTCAGAAAAAAATACCTCTATAAAATGATATGTATTGAAAATTTGGTTCCAGTTTTTGTCAGTGATTATTTTTAACCATTTATAAATGTTTTGTTTGCATAGGATCCATGATTGATTTAATTAAAGTTTCAGAGCTTTGCATAATTCTTTGAAAATCTTCCCATTTATCTAGTTTGTTGAAATAATATATATTCCACTGTTCCTTTAGTTTTGCGGTATTAAAATATTTGATATTTCTAGAATTATTGCAGCCTTTTTGGGTTTAATATATGGAAGGCTTTTACATAGAAGTATTATATTAATATGCAGACTGGGCTACTCACTAGTGGGCTAGACTGCAATTCATTATATTGATGAGAGGGAAATGGCTACATTTGCTTCAACATGAAGAACAGAACAACATAGCTAGAGAAGGAAATGAAACATTGAAAAGGATCTTTGACTAAGATTTCAAGATTTCAAAGTACATTCCTGCTGTAACTTTCTCTTCTCTAGAATATGTACACACAAATGCACAAACACACACAGGTGCATGCATGCATACTCTCCCCCCCCCCGCCCGCAGAGAGAGACAGAGAGAGGGAGGGAGGGAGGGAGAGAGAGAGAGAGAGAGAGAGAGAGAGAGAGAGAGAGAGAGAGAGAGAGAGAAGAGAGAATGACTCTTCCTGGCATGCACAGTACCATTTGCCAGGTGGAATCCTTGTAAAGTGGGTGTAAGAGGTGGATTGTAGGGGGATCTTCCTTTACCTACTCCCAGTCTTTAGAATCATTGTAGAAATAACAGATATTTGAGCTCTGATATTTTATGACTTAGAATTTTATTTCAACTTAACTTATGAATCTAAAAATTGATTTATTGAAAAATATATGAGTAAGCCACATTTCAAAATGTCCAAGATTCAAAGCACAGCACCAAATACTCATTTAAATGTGCTAAAATAGAAACTCTCCCAGCAACAAATGGTACAGCCACCAAGGAAGACAGCGAGTCAGCTTTCTGTAAAATAAAATACCTTCTTAGTTCCTGATCCATCACTGTACTTGCTGATACTCAAATGAGTTGAAAATTATTAAGCTCCCAAAAAAGCCTGCACACATGTTTGTATCAGCTTTATTCACAATTGCCTAAACTTGCAGCAACTAACACACTATTGACAAAGTGAATGCAAGCATATACTGTGGTAAGGACACCGTAGTGGCACACATAGCTTGGCAGTAACCACCAGTTCTCTAGTTGGACTTAAGACCTATTCAATAAGAAGGAAACAGTGACAGGTACCAGAAACCTAGGCAGCTACCCAGAGTTAGTGAGGCCGTGGATCTTGGAGGAGAACCTATAACCACCACTTTACTAGCATAATCCCTACCCACACTATAAATAGTTGTCTTTATGCCCACAGGTAAGTACAGTCCTCTCCTCTCATCAAGGGAACTTCTCAGATGGAAACAATTTTAGAAAACCACAACCAATCAAAATGCAGAATTGTGGAGCACAGTCCTAATAGATATGTCTACAAGAAAACTTCTTCACCTAAGGTTCAAGGATCATTGTAGATGAGGGAGCAGAATGATCATCAGAGCCAGAAGACCAGAGAGTTGCCCATGAGACTTTGTCTCCTAGTAATGTCAGAAGCCCATAAAGTTTCACCAACTAAACTTGACAGCCTAAACATGAGCTGAATGAGGATGACGACAATCGACTTTTTAATGTGGAGTGGGGGAAAGCCCACGAGGCCTCAACCCTACACAGAACTACAGGCAACTTAAGGAATAATAAGAGTTGGAGAATTAGTCTTCCCCAGAGAAAAGTATTATTAGTTATCAAATACCAAATATTTGGCCCTGAAAACATGCATACAAATAACATTATACAGACTGAGCAGGATATACTTGTGTAATTATTATTATTATTATTATTATTATTATTATTATTATGTGTATTAAAGGCTTTTTTTGCTGGATGGTAACATGGCATTTACAAAAATAATCCTATAGTAGTTTATTTTAAGTTGATACAAGCTTAAATTTGAGTGCAAAACCAGCAAAAACCCTCTACCTTTTAACTCCTTTCCTCATTTCGAAATTTGTATTTCATAATTCCTTCCTTTCCCCTCTCCCTTGTCCATTTTACCATCACTCTCCTCTCTTCTCCTTCCCCATCTTTCCCCCGCCCCCATTTCCATTAGCTGTCCTCTCTCCCCCCTGTAGTGGGTAGCCATTCCAGCTTTGATCTGGAAGTTCCAACCCCCATTGAGGCTTTGGTAACTGTCACGCCTACAAGACAGGGCCGAGAGAGGACACTGAAGACCTGAGATCTGGATGCGCCGGCTCTCTTGATTCCTGGACCCTGGACGCTGGAGGTAGACCCAGCAGAGTTCTCCAGAGAACACTGCCAGACTGCGCTACACCTTTCCCAGACCCTGTTACCTATCCCTTCACTTCTAACTTACCCCACAAAATAAACCTCCCTTTTAACTACATAGAGTTGCCTTAATAATTTCACCAATCCTGCGCCCCCCCCCTCTGTTTTTTTCTAAATAACCTAAAATGGCCTCTTATCTCTCGAGTCCTGCAGTTATGCAGGTGTGTCACAGTGCCTGGATGATTTTACATCTCACATTTTATATTATTTAACCCTGAACAAGTCATTTCCATTATTATTATTATTTTCACCGGTTCTGTTTTCTGACCTTCATGCTAAAGAAACAAGTAACTTGCACATGATCATGATAACATTAGAATATTATGAATTTATTGGCATACTCTTGCCAAGAAGTTTTATAGTGTTATATCTTCATTGAACTCTTTTGCATTCCTTTCTTTAGATTTGAAAACTCCATCAGCATTTCCTGCAGGGTGTACTATTTCAGCTTTGCTTTTCTGGGAGGCTACACCTTTTCTTAATTTCTGAGGGGAATGCAATCATGATAGTTGGTAGTTTTTTCCCTTTAGAACTTTGCATTAATTCCCTCTCTTCTGTCCCATGAGCTTCTACCGCTTGGTATCTTGGCACTCCTGTCTACTTGCTTTGTCTCTTTCCTCTAGCTGACACACACACACACACACACACACACACACACACACACACACACACACACACACCTGGATAACTGTGTCTTATGTCTTTCTCCAAACTTGTGAAGTTTCCTGGCTATTACTTTTTTTTTAAATAATTTTTTTTGCTTCTTTCTCTTTCTTTTAAATTTCAATGACCTGAACTTTTGCTTTTGTGACTTTTGTGCGATAAATCCTATACATTTTCTTTATTTAATTCTGGTTTGTCCCGCTGAAGTAGTTTGTCTTTGAATTCACAGATTTCTTTTTTTTTACTCATTTGGTTGACCCTGCTATTGATGCTGTTCCATGTTTCATTTTACACATCGTATTTTTCATCTGATTGATTTCTGTTCAATTGATTCAATTACTTTAATCTCTCCATTAAATTTGTTGCTATGTTTTGGAATTATTTGTCTGTTTTTTTAATTGCTGGCCTCTCTAAAATGGCTGTTTGTCAGTTTTTTAAATGTTTTATTTCAATGTCATATATGTGTACTATATTTATATTATACCCCACTTTCTCCCTCTAACTCCTCCCATGTTCTCACTTCCCACTTCCTCTCAAATTCTCTTTTTCTTTAATTATTGTTACACATACATACGTACATACACATACGTGTGACTAAATACAACGTACTGAATCCAACTAGTGTTGCTCATATGTATATGTTTTTAGGGCTGGCCACTGGTAGTGGATGACCAATCTGGGGACTTGTCTCTAGAGAAGACTGCTTCTCCTTTCCTCAGCAATCATTGTTTGCTGTCAGCTCTTCATTTAGGGGTGGAGTCTTATGAGATTTTCTCGTGAACATTGCCATGTCAACTGTTTCTAACTCTTTATCAAAGTTTAGATATTTCCATTTCTTTCCGGACACTTACTGCAACATCATCTTTCTCTAATTTCTTTTCATCCATTTGTAATGTCTGGCTATTGAAGAAGAAAGCTTTTGCTATAGCTCTTTCTGTTTTCATTTATCTTAAGTGGTCCTGCAACAGCATGCCCAGCCTGAAATTCTAAGCAAGTGTTTTGATGTGGAACTTAGGTTTATGATTGCTGCAGTTGTTGCAATTCCAGGGTGCCCTTTAAAGTTAGTGCAACCATGGTAGGTACTATCCTGGGCTAGAATCCTTTAACTGTTAAGTCTCTTGCAAAGCTGGGCTGAAATCCAAG